GTTATCCGCACCCGTGTATTTGTGGATGTGTGAGATCGCTGTGTGTGTGTGTGTGTGTGTGTATGTGTGTGTGTGTGTGTGTATGTGTGGATGTGGATGTGTGAGATCGCAGTGTGTGTGTGTGAGTGTGTGTGTGTTTGTGGATGTGTGAGATCGCTGTGTGTGTATGTATGTGTGTATGTGTGTGTATGTGTGTGTGTGTGTGTGTGTGTGTGTGTGTGTGTGGGTTTGCGATATCTAGGGAATAAGTGGATGTATTTATTAGTATTTTCTGGATATACTAAATATACAGGTTTAATGTGTGGATATTTTATGGGTATGCGGTAGGCCTCTTTAATATAACCATTCGCTGTATAGTTATATCTATGAATATGTAGTCTTTTATGGATATGTTTCGGTGTGTGGATATATTTGCGGATATCCGGCTATGTCTTGTGGATACTACTGCTGTGGGTTTGTTTTGTGGATATATTTTGTGGGTCGTTCAGAAAGGCGAATCCAGTAAGGTGACTGTTTGATTAGAATTATAGAAATTACTTTGCTTATTGATTAGTTTTTATTATGATTATTCCCCTCTCTCCTTTTTCCTCCCCCCCCTCCTTATCCACTTCTTTCTCTTTTCCCCTCTTCCTCTTACCACCTCTCGCCTTTCTCTCTCTCTTTTTCCTTTCTTCCCCTGTCCTCCATCCTCTCTCTTTATCTCATCCTCTTCTATTTCCCTTTCCTTCACCATCTCTCTTCATTCTCCCCTCTTCCTCTCTCCCTTCCCTCTTCCTACATCCCTTCTCTTTATAGCCTCTCCTTCCCCTTCCCCTTCCGGTTCATTCACCTTATATTCTCCCCTTCCCCCCTCCCCCTTTCCCCTCCTCTCTTTTCCCCACTTCCCCTCCCACTCTCTCTTCATTCTCCCCTTCCTTCCCTTCTCCCCATCCCCTCTGTTCATTTCTCTCTATCCCCTTCCCCATCCTCTTCTCCATCTCCTATCCCGTCTATTTATCGCTCTCTATCCCCCATTCCCTCTCTTTTTAGCCCCCTCTCTTCCTTCCCCTTTCTTCAATCTCCCCTCTTCCTCTCTCCCCAATTCCCCATCTCCTCTCTTTATCGCCCTCTCTTCTCCTTCCTCTCTCTTCATCTCCCCCTCTTCCTCTTTCTCCAGTCCCCTATCCCCTCTCTTTATCGCCCCCTCTCTTCCTTCCCCTCTCTTCATTCCCCCCCTCTTCCTCTTTCTCCAGTCCCCTATCCCCTCTCTTTATCGCCTCTCCCCCCCCCCCTCCTTCCAAAATCCCTCTCTTCATTTCCTTCTCTTCCTCTTCCCCTCTCCTCATCCCCTCTCCCCCCCCCCCTCCCCCCTCTACCGCTGACGCAACAGATTACCGTAAAAGGAACGACGTGAGGAATTTCCGTTCGCGCAGATCTGCTGCCATAAGTATCCGCTTGAATCCGCTTGAATCCGCTTGCGTTTTCCTCTCGAATCCGTCTGAATTCGCCCAGCACGGACCCGCCTGCAATCCATGTGCATCTTGACTGCCATCCATTTGCATACCGCCTGCATCCGCCTGCATCCGCCTGCATCCGCCTGCATCCGCCTGCATCCACTCGCACCCAGCCGCATTCGGTTTCATCCGCTTTCATCCATCTGCATCCACGTGCATCCATCTGCATTCACCTGCATCCACTCGCACCCAGTCGCATTCGCTTGCATCTGCTTCCATCCATCTGCATCCACTTGTATCCACCTGCATCCACCTGCATCCACCTACATCCACCCGCATCCACCTACATCCCCCTGCATCCACATGCATCCACCCGCATCCACCTACATCCCCCTGCATCCCCCTGCATCCACCTGCATCCACCCGCATCCACCTGCATCCACATGCATCCACATGCATCCACCCGCATCCACCTGCATCCACCTGCATCCACCCGTATCCACCTACATCCACCTGCATCCACCTGCATCCACATGCATCCACCTGCATCCACATGCATCCACCCGCATCCACCTGCATCCACCTGCATCCACATGCATCCACCCGCATCCACCTGCATCCACCCGCATCCACTTACATCCACCTGCATCCCCCTGCATCCACCTGCATCCACCTGCATCCACTTACATCCACCTGCATCCCCCCGCATCCACCTGCATCCACCTGCATCCACCTGCATCCACCTGCATCCACATGCATCCACCCGCATCCACCTGCATCCACCTGCATCCACCCGCATCCACTTACATCCACCTGAATCCCCCTGCATCCACCTGAATCCACCTGCATCCACTTACATCCACCTGCATCCCCCTGCATCCACCTGCATCCACCTGCATCCACCTGCATCCACCCGCATCCACCTGCATCCACCTGCATCCACCCGCATCCACCCGCATCCACCTGCATCCACCTGCATCCACCTACATCCCCCTGCATCCCCCCGCATCCACCTGTATCCCCCCGCATCCCCCTGCATCCACCTACATCCCCCTGCATCCACCTGA